AGAAAATGCTCCTAATCAAAACTTTTTAAAGCCATATCTCGGAATTTTGGCTGAATTGGCCAGTTTTGAAAGTATTTTCATAAATGGGAATAAAATAGCTATCGTTTAGACCAAAAAAACTAATTTTCGAAGAAGTTTTCGATTGAATAATTTGCGGAGCGACCTGTAAACACGTCTGTTCCGGTTGAGATCTAGTTTGCAACTGTGTAAAATGTGGAATAAAGGAACGAATAAATAAAGCTACTCCACCGCGAGATCTGTCGGATCTATATATAGAGAATCTAGGAATATCAAATTTCATATCGCATGTAAGCCACGATTTGCTTACTAAAATTATATCGATAGAGAGAGAGATAAGGATTAAAATTTCTGTATACTTATTACGTAATGAATGCGCGTTCCAACTAACGACTTTAAGAGTAATTATTGGTGAGCGAGAAAGAGGTAGTGTACTTAAGTAGAATGTTGAGTTGACCACTCTGTTCATTCCAAGCAACGAGCTCATCAACCATTCTAGGTGTGGTTCTTGAGCGTTCAGGAGTTAATCCAAAATTGATTGCTGAATGACTCCACTGCTGGCATCGAAAACATTGAATCACTTTCTTGCTGGGCTTTTTTTAGTGCATCCCATTTGACGACGATTCCATCAACATACTTATGCGAGTGGTTCAACAGATTAATATTTACTGACTTGTCGAAATGTACAAGGTACATAACGTAGTTGATGTTATGTATGATGTCAGTAACTTTGTTGACAGGAACAGCCGAGGCTTGAAGCAAGGAGAGGACTTCTTTACATGGTGCCTGAAAGAAACCTTTAAGAAGGAAGTAATTTGGCTTGTCTACTGGATCCAGTGTCTTATCACTGACTGAGAAACACAATACTTGTGTCGAATTACTTCCTCGTCCCTTGAGTAAAGGTTCAGTGAAAAACTGGATTGACTGCATGACAGTTCTGATGGCTTGGAAGTCAGATTGAACAAAAACTGGCTTTACAGTTTTTCCAGCCACTTGATCTTGTGCTGATGTTATAGGAAGATCCTGTTCTACATTTTGGATGAAATTATATACTTCACAAATGCGAAAAACCAAATTGGTAGAAATTGAGTGAGTTGATGCCGAAATTTTCTTAGAATCTTGGGGAAAAAAACGGTCAAAAAACTTTAAAAATTTATCACGCATTAAACATTGAAGAGATTATAATTATTATTATTATTTGTTTATTCTCTTCTTCTTTATATAGTAGAGATGATGTGAGCTGAAGTGGCTCGGTGGCGGAATAGTTTAGTACTTGTGTACCTAATTATTGCAATACCGACACAGCGATCATGGGTTCGAGACTGGGTATGAGAAATTTTTCACTTGTTCTTTTTCGAATCATATGTACTGGATATGGGGCTCACAGCCTTCCTTTGTAGGCTACAGGCAGAAATGTCAGCAAAGGAGTGGTTCGGATCCCACTATAAATTGTAGGTCTAGGCTTGAGTGCAGTGGTTTGGCGCATCCTCACTAGTTAAACGCTGCGAAACGCCCTAGCGCACCTCTGGATCACAATTGATCTGAATAGGTAAAGGTTTTTTAGCGCATTTTTGAAACTTGTTTCAAAAAGGTAGCTTAATCATGCACTAACGGCTGGCTGGCTGGTCGGCTGCTAAGAAAAACTTTTAATCTAGACATCGTAGAGAGTTCTAGTTTTTTGCATTAGTTCCGTTATATCGAGTTATTGGTCCGCCGGACATTTAAAAATCTTAAAACAGTGTATTTATGCTATAATTAATGAATTTTCTAAAAAAAATAGAGTTCTACACTTCGAACTTCTACACTATAATTTGAATTTCAAAAAACCGTTAAATTACCAAGCCTTTTTATATGAATTTTCTTTTTGCAACAGACTGTTATTTATACTATAACTAGGCTATCCGGAGCCGCCCGTGGCGCCTCTTATCAGGGTTAAAATTTGATTACTATTATGTAAATAACTGTAAGACGCAAATTTTATATGGCTTCACAAAATATTCCTGACACCAAACTTTTCCCACAAACCCCCTCAAATTCATTGGCTTCATACGGTTTCACAAAATATACCTGACACTCCCCTTACCCCCCCCCCCCCTTCCCCAACCCACCTTGACAGCACCCCTCACATCATTGGCTTCATAAAATATACCTGACACCCCCCTTGCCCCCAATCCCCACCTGACACCCACCCCCACACCTGACACCCACACCCACCTGACAATCACCTTGTCAACACTCCTTAAATTTTTGTCTTCACACGGCTTCACAAATGTCTTCACATTGCTTCCGTTCCAGAGTCAGTGAATCAGTGAGTTGGGCTTTTATATATTAGATTAATGCTTTTACTGCAATTTTTGGCAAGATACTTTCAAATGCATACGACCGTTACAAAATTTGAACTTCAGAAAACCGTTAAATGATAAACAATTTATATAGAAGAATGAAAGATATTAAATTGATAAATATACTTTAATTAATGAGTTTTTGTATATCTTTTAGCGGGAGCTTTCAAAAACTTTCTGACCGTTAGAAAATTTGAATCTCAAAAAATCGTTAAATGATAAACAATTTATATATGAGAATGAAAGATATTAAATTGTTAAATTTACTATAATTAATGATTTTTTGTGTATCTTTTGGCGGGAAGCTTTCAGAAACTTACTGACCGTTAGAAAATTTGAATCTCAAAAAACCGTTAAATGATAAACTTTTTATGTGTGGAAATTCATTGGAAAAATTATTTAAATTATAACTAATGTTTTCGTAGTGCAACTTTAAGCGGGAAAAATTTCAAATTATTTATTAACCGTTAAAAAATTTGAATTCCAAAAAACGTTTAATGATAACAAATCTTTCTTTATTTCAAATTTGGAATTATTGTAGTTTAAGTTACATTTCTTTGAGTCTTATTTTGACACCAGCCTGAATATGGCTTTAATTCAACTATATCTTGATTAATTATTAATTTTGATGAATGAGATTTACATATATCATGAAAATGTGGCATAAAAAGTTTAAAAAAAGTTGCCGAGCGAGAAAAAAAAGTTTAATGATAAATCATTACAAATTATTAATAATACTATAGTTAATGTTTTTGAAGTGCAACTTTTAGCGGGAAAATTTCAAATTATTTATTTACCGTTAAATAATAAAGCCTTTCTATATAAGCATTCATTATAAATATTTGCTAATTGATGATCTTCTAATGATCTGTAAATGAACGCAAAATAAATAGGTAATCAAATACTGATCGCTAACACAAAAATGCGCTTAAGTCCCTCGATCAATAACACGAGGACTTCTGTAATTTTTTTATAATAGAGATGAAACTTACCTTTTGATAATTTAAATATTTATGCATTTTTTAATTTAATTTAATTTAAAATGATTAATTTTATTTTTACTACAATCATAATTAATAAATCAAATTCTTAACGAATTACAATATACAACTATTTAACTGTAGTACAGTTTATGAAGAAAAAAAAACATCAAACTGATTAAAGCAAAACAAATAATTATTGTTCATCTAATCATTCTATATCATGCCTATGCAAGTAAATTTGTTTTTATGTGTTTTATAATTATTTTCTATTAAACCAAAAAAGCGCCTTTAATATAAAGTATGCCACACCAACAATGCAAAGAATTTTCTCCCGCTGTGTTCGCTGTAAGTTGTCAATCTCAACATTTAAAAGTCGTCGATTTAATTTTGCTACTTGTTTTCTTAAATGCAGAATCTCGTCGTGAGACTGTGAAAGATTTTCGACTGAACCCATTCCACTAAACTGTACAACTTCATCTCTTAAAATAAAAAAATGATATTTTTAATTATAAAAAACATGTCAGTTTTAAATTTCTCATCTTAAACATACCTGTGATTAATAACTAATTCCTGCGAATTATGATGCGATTTTTTATGATTTTTTGTTCCTTTATTAATATCATCATTAAAGTGCAAATTTTTTGGCTCAAAATATCCCACATTTTCCAGTTCATTTTCATGTTCTTCAGAAGCATAAAAAGGAAAATGATGGTCGTTAAGAGTAATGACTCTTGGGGGCGTAGAAACTCTTATGAATCCAGGATCTTTGGGCAAAATAGAATTCTCGAGAACAATTTCACGTGGTGCTGATTTTGTGCCTGACAAAACTATAAATATTAAAAAATGTACAAAAAACGAGACGTGCAAAATGGGTAATTCCATGAGTGAGAAAATGGATAAAAAATTTGATTGCACTTTTTGTAATAATTGAAGTCTTTAACCATTTCATAAATTTATCTTAGCGCTAAACGTGAAAGGACTCAAAGAATGTGAACACTATATGCTTGAATTGTGTCTATAATTATATATTTTTCTTAAAACTGTTATTAAAAAATTCTGAAACTATTTGATGAAAATTCTCGTTAAATTCATGGTTTTAATCATTTGATTAATTAGAGCGGTTTTAAATTGAAATATCTACAATATCATGGGGGCTGTTCACTTATTACGTTACGCAAAAAATTGACTTTTTTCACCCCCCCCCTCCCCCTTGTTACAATATGTTACAGCTCACAACCCCCCCCCCCCCTCCTGAACGTTCATAAATAAAAGGTGAAAAATTTAAAAAATGTTTTTGTTATGAATTTGTAAACAAATTTTTTTTAAGACAGACGACAGTTAGAACGTTACATATTTCTTGACCCCCCCCCCCCCTATGTTACATTTTTGTTACAATTTTTTAAACCTCCCCTCCCCTCTAAAATGCGAACGTAATAAGTGAACGGCCCCATGTGAGTTTCACTTGATATTATTCTGTAATTAACAAGAAAATTGCACAAAACTGCGTCAAACAGTTAATTTTCTGATTGTTACAAAACATATTTTTTTTGTTTACAAGTTTAATTAATGATTTTTGAATGTTGTGGTTCAAAAACCAGACAAAGGAATAATAAAAACATATATTTTAAATAAGAATTCTCCTTTTAAATATGTTTTTTTAGCTAAAATTTTGAAATTAAAACTGTTTGTAAAAAATTTCTCAGTTTCGTTTACTCATGGAATTATCAATTTGATAATGATTTTATATATTAGGTAAATATTGTCGTCAATCATTTTTCTATCTAATGATAAAAAGGCTACCGAGCCACAATGATTCAGATTTGAAAAAAATGTTCAAGAGCTCGGTCGAATAAAAAGTTCCATTGAATTTCAACGGTTTTTTGAAATTCAATTTTTGTTACTTTCCCCTTCAATTAAACGAAAAATTACTTTGCAAAATATCGTTTAAATTAATATCAATGTTTTCTTTTGAGCATTGTAATGCATCCAATAAATTTTTCTTGATCTGTTCCTAATTTTTCAGCTTCCAAATATGTGTAATTAATGAGTTTCAAACGATTTTTTTAATTCGCATATTTTTTTGTGATGTAAGGGCAATTCCATGAAACGATTTGTCTACAAATTTTTCTCCAAATTGATTTTTACATCTTTAGACTATTCTACTGCAAATAAGCTTTTCGTAGGTCATTTAAAACATCATTTTCTATTTAATTGACTGAAATTTGCTTACTTATAGTGGTTAATTAAAGAATTATTTCAATTCTTTTGGCGTTACTTAGTAACACAATCGAAGAAAAAATAATTTGGAGACTCACTTAAAGCGGTTTTTCTTTTCTTTTCGCAGTTTGTTAATAATAAAGACTGTCACAACTCAAAGATTGATTATCAAGCTACCAAAATCTAGCATTAAATTAACTCAAAAGTGCTTAATTAAGCTACAATTTTAATTTCTATGTGACTTAAAAAGATGTTACTAAGTAACGGAGAGATTTATTCCGTGAAAAAATACAGAATTCAAAATTTTAAAATTCTATTTTTTCAATGTATTTTTCATTAAAGTAATGTTCAACTAATTAGAATTACTCATTTTAGGATGAAAAATAGTTTAAGTTGAGTAAAACATTAAGAAAATAAGAGTACAAAGAAATATTTAAAAAAATAATATTTCTTACTTAATATTAAATCCGCGTAAAGCTTCTGGACATGACAAAATTCCCAATTGTGCCTTGAGAGTCTTGAGTGACTCTGCTCAATTTGTTTCATTGTGTGCAAATTTGTTTAATTCCTGCATTAATCTCTCATATTTCCCTAGAAGTTGGAAAATTGCGAAGATAATGCCTATTCCAAAAGGAAAAACAATTTGTAATTCTCCAGATGACTTTCGACCAATCTCTCTCCTTTCTTGTCTTGGCAAATGCTTTGAAAGAATTATTTTAATGCGTCTAAATGACTTTGAGCTTGACAATAACATCATCATCAAGCAGTAGTGTGGATTCAGGACTAATCATTCCACAGTTCATCAAATTTTAAGAATTTCTGAAAATATCTCATTTGGTTACAACAAGAATAAAAGCACTGGAATGGCTTTACTAGATCTTCGTAAGGCTTTCGATAGCGTATGGCATGATGGATTGGTTCATAAACTTGTTGTGAATAAATATCCTAAATATTTGATTAAGTTGTTGCATTCATATCTTTCCAATCGTTCAGCATTCGTGGTTTGCCAGTCTGCCTTCTCTTATCTCTTTGATGTTTCATCTGGTGTCCCGCAAGGTTCACTGATTGCCCCACATCTGTTCAATCTATTCATAAACGATGTTCCCATTCCATCCAAAGGACATCTCTGCTTATATGCAGATGATACTGCTTTTTTCGTTCAATTCCCTTGGAAGAATCTCAAAGCTATCAAATCTGAGTTGTGTAAAACAGTTATTCGCCTGCAAAGCTTTTTCCTTGATTGGAAAATCCAACTAAATGAATCCAAAACAGAGTTCATCGTCTTCACCAAATCGACAAAAATGATCAGGATGTTAGGCAACGATTGCATCAATTTCAATGGCCAATCTTTCAACTGGAAGGAGTCGGTGAAATATTTAGGCGTTATCCTTGATCAGAAATTGACATTTAAAGATCACATTGACCGTTCAATTCAAAAAGCTAGTGCTGCAAGCTTTTCAAGTCTCTACTGTCTTTTGAGCAGGAAGTCATCAGCTCCTGTCGATTCAAAAATTAGAATTTATAAATCGTTCATTAGACCTATCCTGACTTATGCATGTCCAATATTTTCCAATGCAGCAGCCTGTCATCTTAAGAAACTTCAGTTGTTCCAAAACAAAATTATTCGAATGATTCTCAATGTCAATTGGTCGGATTTCAGAACAGTTAATGAAATTCACAAGACTGCCAATACTCCTCTAATGTCAGATTTCATATCTCGTCTTACCGACAATTTCTACTCAAAAGTTACACACCATTCAAATGACTTAATTTCATCACTTGGCCAATACAGTTATAATTCATTGAGCTTCCGAGCAAAACATAAATTGCCGAAGCCTCGTCATTAATATCTAATTTTCTTTTTTTTTGTATTTAATTAAGTTTTTTATTATTATATTTCTTTTTGGTCTTTTTGCTAATTTTTTTTGACCGCATCTCAATAGTTCAAACTTAACTCATGTCATTTCAATAATCACATTTCATTTTTACATTTGATTTAAAACCGACGAGGTTAACATCAAGATAAATTCAGTTTGTTCCGACGTATATCATTAATTAAATAAAGGATTATTATTACTTAATAGACTTGGATCAAACTCAAATGTAAACAATGAAACTATTTCATGGAATTGCCCGTAAACAAACGAATGGAATAATTCAAATTTTGACCGTTATGAAAAAAGTTTTTCAGAAAAATCATTAATTTAACTAATTTAAACAATCTTTTTGAAGATTTTAATAGCAAAGGGTTATAAAGAATTGAAAATCCAACAGTTGAGTATGATTTTTGTATCTTGTAATGAAGTTTTCGCAAAGTTATTAGTATTTTTTGTGAAAATTCAAAACAATGGAACTTTTTTTCAGTGTCAGAAATCGGTTGTTTTTACTACGTTTTTCTTAACTTGCTTTCTTGTTTGTTTGTTTGTTTGTTTGTTTGTTTGTTTGCAAAAAATTTCAAATCTTGCGATCAATTTTTCGACCACTTCTACTGCTCCAATCGAGCTCAAATTTTCAATGCACATGTATTCCCGGTGACAATACAATATTTTAACACTTTGGAAACACAAAAATGCTTAATTATAGTACAATTTATGTAAAACTTTTTTATATGGGAAAAAATCCAATGTCAATGATATAAAATTTTGATTTGTATTAAATATTATACTTGTGATGCTCTAAAGTCATTTATATGATTCATTATAGTTTAATTAATATTACTAATTATTAATTATACCATAAATTTGAGCAGCTAAAGATATTCTGGTAAGACAAAAAAATTGACATGTAATTTTTTCATGAATATTCGTAAGTGAAAATTTGAATTTTCAAAAAAACCGTTAAGCACAAGTCCGTTACGAATTAATGCAAAATAACTATTAATATGCGATGTGCATTTAGCACACATAGTTTGAGCATAAATTTATGCTGTTTTAAATGTATTGCATTATTTATAACACTTCACCAACTTAATTAAATTGACTTTTCTTTTTATTAACGGTTTGACGTATTTTTGCATAACATATAAATGATATTCATTGAATTTAAATTTGAAAATCCGTTATAAATACGTTACATATAGATTTGATTTGCATCTTTAAGTTAAGAATCCACACGTTATGTAGTAGGAATGGTTCGGATAAACACAAAATCTTTACGAGTGATTTTTAATGTACTTTACTAATGAATGCTTTAAAAAAATTAAATTTTATAAAACGAATGAAAAATTTTGAAAGTCGTTACTAATTTCCCATTGAAAACTGGTAATTTATAAACAGTTGAACGCAACGAAGTGAAGTTCAACACACCTGTAACCTATAAACCTACTGTAATCTATAAACAGTTGAACGTAACGAAGTGCAACGAAGTGAAGTTCAACACACCTGTAACCTATAAACCTACTGTAATCTATAAACAGTTGAACGTAACGAAGTGCAGCGAAGTGAAGTTCAACACACCTGTAACCTATAAACCTAATGTAATCTATAAACAGTTGAACGTAACGAAGTGCAACGAAGTGAAGTTCAACACACCTGTAACCTATAAACCTACTGTGATCTATAAACAGTTGAACGTAACGAAGTGCAACGAAGTGAAGTTCAACACACCTGTAACCTATAAACCTACTCTAATCTATAAACAGTTGAACGTAACGAAGTGCAACGAAGTGGAGTTCAACACACCTGTAACCTATGAACCTACTGTAATCTATAAACAGTTGAACGTAACGAAGTGCAACGAAGTGAAGTTCAACACACCTGTAACCTATAAACCTCCTGTGATCTATAAACAGTTGAACGTAACGAAGTGCAACGAAGTGAAGTTCAACACCCTGTAACCTATAAACCTACTCTAATCTATAAACAGTTGAACGTAACGAAGCGCAACGAAGTGGAGTTCAACACACCTGTAACCTATGAACCTACTGTAATCTATAAACAGTTGAACGTAACGAAGTGCAACGAAGTGAAGTTCAACACACCTGTAACCTATAAACCTACTGTAATCTATAAACAGTTGAACGTAACGAAGTGCAACGAAGTGAAGTTCAACACACCTGTAACCTATAAACCTCCTGTGATCTATAAACAGTTGAACGTAACGAAGTGCAACGAAGTGAAGTTCAACACACCTGTAACCTATAAACCTACTCTAATCTATAAACAGTTGAACGTAACGAAGTGCAACGAAGTGGAGTTCAACACACCTGTAACCTATAAACCCCCTATAATCTTTATTTCTCTATTTCATTAGAATAAGACTAAAAAGTAGAAAATAAAATACTTTATAAAAAAAAACTTTTTAAAAAACTACGTTTTTCGCGTAGACTAAAAAGTAGAAAATAACTTTTATTCTTGATTGTAAAGAATTTGGTTTTAAATTTTCAGATTATATTTAATAAATTTTTATATCCTAGTCAATATTGTTCACAAAGTTTCGAATAAGTGCACTTTGATCTTATCGTATAACTCAACAACTTAAAAACGTGGGCGCATTAATTTAAGTTTATCATAAAGTATTGATTTCACATAAACTTATTTCTCCTCTTATAATGCGCCCACGTTTTTAAGTTGTTGAGTTATACGATAAGATCAAAGTGCACTTATTCGAAACTTTGTGAACAATATTGACTAGGATATAAAAATTTATTAAATATAATCTGAAAATTTAAAACCAAATTCTTTACAATCAAGAATAAAAGTTATTTTCTACTTTTTAGTCTACGCGAAAAACGTAGTTTTTTAAAAAGTTTTTTTTTATAAAGTATTTTATTTCTGTTTTTTGACTTAATTAAAGTTCCTTATGTTATGAAATTCATGTCAAATAACGCGTTTTTGAAATCTCTATGATACTTACTGATTATTTACAAATATAAATGTCCAGGAAATGAGAAAAAAGTGAAAGCTTCTCGATTTCTGACACTTATTCAACAAACGACCAAGCCCTCAAATAACCCTTGTGCATAATATTTTTCAGACACATTGAAGTAATGAAATTTTTTGTTGAAATTCTCTAGTTTAGGACTTTTAATGTCTTTAATCTTACTTGATTATTGACTCCTCAAAATATTAGGTCATGCATTTGAGGATAAATAACTTATGAGTGTTTAAAGCAGTTTAAAGTCTTGGTAAATTTCAACAAAAAAATAAAGCATAAATAATCGCCCAATTAATAAGTATTCTTTTAGTTTCTTCACATAAACACAAAGAACTAAGCTTAATTAGGCAAGTTATAAGCATTAAAACAAGAAATTAGATGTAGAAAGGAGAAAAAATTTAAGAAAAATATTTGTTGTCATTTTGTAAACAAATTGATTGTCATCAGTGTTGCATTCTGGCTATTTGTCTGGATCAGATAAATTCTGAGACAGAAATTTCTTCATAAAATCGATTCTACATGTAGAAAGAAAAAAACCATCTACATGTAGATTGTGTCTACATGTAGAATCTGTCTACATGTAGATTTAATGTAGATGTCTACGATTCTACATTCTTCTCTGATGTAGACCTGGAAAAAAATGTAGAATTATAGACATCTACATCGAATCTACATGTAGACAGATTCTACATGTAGACACAATCTACATGTAGATGGTTTTTTTCTTTCTACATGTAGAATCGATCTTTATGAAGAAAGTTTCTTAGCTAGACAAAAACTATTGAAGAATCTACATTCTTCATCTAGTGTAGACATCTACATTTGCAACACTGATTGTCATCTTAGAATCGAATTTTTGTGAGTCAGACAACATATTAGAATGAGATATTTTTACAGAACATAAAACAAATCATGTACTTTAATCTAGCATTCAAAAAATATATTTTAATTACCTTGTTATTTTTGAATTTTTGAACATTTTTTTCAAATCTGGATCATTGTGCGAGCCTTACTAAAATATCAGTTTTTTGAAGACTTTAATTAACATGATTTTTGTTTTATGGTAAGTAGGTCAGTCGCTTAACCAAAGTAAATCATTTTTAACTGATAATATGTGTCATGAAGATATTATTTAGAATTACATTTATTATATTTAAATAGAAACAAAAGAAAGAATAATTACCCAAATGTTTATCCTGACCTAAAACAACAATCCTATCAGGTACAGTCATATCTACTCGTTCGTCATGGTAATTCCACGAATTCATGTTGTGTCCATTCAATATTTCATGATGATCCTGTACAATCTCTCCATTCGCAGATACTTAATTTATATTAAAGTAAATTTTGTTACGATGACATAAATAAAATATTTGTTACTCACTGCGTTTGGGAACCTTCATTTTTTCACTTATTTCTTCGCTGAATTTTGCATTCATATATGCCTCTAATAAGGGATCACCTTCAAAATCATAATTCGGTGGAGAAGTCGACATTTTCAATACTTAAATTCTTTTTAAACTAAAAAAATATATTTTGATCAAAAGATTTAATATTTTTGAAGAAAAACATTAAGTCCATGGAAAAGATAGAAAGTATGAAATGTCCTGATTATTACAAATCAGAAGCGCTTTTTCAAACAACAAATAAATGGGGATTCGGTTTGCTTACAACTTGGCAGGCAACTATTAAATGCAAAAATCAACTAGTGTATCGGGTAGAAACCCAATGCGGATTATATTCACACCGTATCATCAAAAGTCTTATGGATTGACCAAGATTTGCCCAGCATAAGTATGAAGAAAGTAGGAGATATAAAGCTAGCGAGTCAGCTGAGCTTTGCTCAGCATATGTTTGAAGGTATAAAGCTAGCGAGCCGGTTTTCTTAGCAATGCCGCAACCAATTTGAAATCTGTTTTTTGAAAATGGTATAAAATTTCAGACACAAACTTTTCTTTTTTGACCTTTTATAACCAATTTAGCTTCGTTTTCTCACAAATTGCGAAAAACTGATTTTTCAATCTGAATAAAACCAATAGATTCACACGTGAAAACTGTGTGAATATAAAAAATGCTTTCATTGTCGAGATTTCAATGTACCAGCCTGCCAGCTTAAGTGAACTTAAAGCCTTTTTCCTCAGGAAAATACGCTAAAAATTGATTTAATATAGCCTGAATAAAGAAAATTTTCAAATAAAAGGTGCAAAATTAAATTTACATGAAAGACAAGGATTAAAATTTAAAATTGTAAAAAACCGTTTTTGAAAATCATTTTTATTATTTTATTATATTTACCAGTATTCACCATTTGTCAAATACTATAATATCTAAATTATCGTCGAATGTCACAAATATCTCTCCTGACTTGCTTCCTTTTAATCTTATGGATTCAACAGGCTCATCCTTCAATATTTTGCTCATTACCACTTTGATTTTATCAGCAAAACTTGAAATGTTGGAGTAACTGAATTGTGCTTGTTCTAGAAGCATGTTTGTCTTTAGCAATTTTGTTGGGTTTCGATTAACAATGATGACATTTGAATTATGAGCTCTGATAATTTTATTAAAAACATCATCCATATAATGCAAAATATTGTGGTTTTCAGACATCACTGTATGTGTAGTGTAGTTAGTCTTTATTCAGTTATTAATATGAAAAAAAATAAAAAATCAGCAACATATATGTTTAGATTTTAAAAAATTTACCGAAATATTATAAGAGCTACTTCTTTCCGACATAGTTTAAGATTTCAAACTGCCGAATAATATGATTTCAATAGTTGTCAATAAAATTAATCAAATCAAACAAAGACATGTCAAGGGTTGTGAACAAAAATAATCGTAAATCATTTTTAAACAGAGGGTTAGGAAGTATCGTGTTTTAGAGTTATCGAAACAAGAATCTGTAAATTAATTTAAACATGAATAAAATAGGGAGTGAATGATATTAAAAAAAAAAAACCATAAATATCTTTCAAAATCTTTTTAAATAGCAGAACTCACCTAAATGTTGAAATGTACTAGCTCAACGGTTAAAATATATTTAAATTTTTTTATAGCTGGCATAGGTACATTATTTTAAATAATCATTTTTTTTTTATAACAGAGCAAATTAACGAGAATATAACTTAAAGCTTTATAAACCGAAAAATAAAAAAGTTTGACGATATAAGACATCATGAATGATGAACAAGGAGGTTTGTATGAACAAGGAAACTTAATAAATTCTAATATTTGTTAAAGACAAACAAATTTTTATTTTATAATGTTTTTATCATTTTTTTCTTTCTTTCAGAAAACACAACAAAAAAGAAAAATAATGTGCTTCCGAGTCATGGAAACGACTGTATGAATCTTAATCCACTTATATTAACAAACATACAATCGAGCAATTACTTTAAAGGTAAGTTTTAGCTAAATGGCACTTTTTTACACATTTGAAATTTTATATATAAACTAATTGGGATTTTCTTCAAATTTATTTCTCCAAACTTCTTAATTTTAGGTATGTTTGTCAGTAGGTATGATAACACAAATTTTTTCTACAGATTGTGCTGAGATAAAATTTAATTTTATCACAACACACATCTGTCGATTTTGTTACTTCTTTTTTTTTCAAATAAATATCACGGAATTTCCTCTTATTTCTAGTGACCTTGTTTCAGCTAAAAACTTACCATGAAGTTATTGATGAAATTTACTATCAAGTTAAGCATTTAGAACCATGGGTAATTTAATAATCTTTAATTAAATATATATATATATATATATAAAAAGAGTTTACCTATTTTTTATAACTTATCTATTTAGGAACGAGGTTCAAGAAAAACTTCTGGAAATTCTGGAATGTGTGGGTTAGTGAGTCATAAATTATTTATTGAGAGATGAAAGAGGGCAAATCATAATTTTATCAATTTTCCAGTGTTGCATTCTGGCTATTTGTCTGGATCAGATAAATTCTGAGACAGAAATTTCTTCATAAAGATCGATTCTGTGTAGATTAGATTTTCTATCTTCATGTAGAATCGATATTTATGAAGAAAGTTTCTTAGCTAGACAAAAACTATTGAAGAATCTACATTCTTCATTTAGTGTAAACATCTACATTTGCAACACTGCAATTTTCTTTTAAAAGTCCAGCGAAATTCATAATTTTTTTGTTAAGATCTTTAACATGTTCTTAAGTTTAACCTGCATGAAATACTCGCAAGTAAAAAATCGTACTTTTGAGAGCATGATTTCAGTGATACCCTGCTGCGATCTCCATTTGTATGGGAGTGAACTCTATATCTAGCATCATCAAATAAATAAATTGTTTTTTAAAGAGCATGATCAGAACGTGATTGTGGGTCATAGGACCGACCGAATTTTCGAATAATTAAAGCTTTCATTATATTTTTTTTTAAATGAAACGTCTACAAATCTTTTTAGTTCTGTGAGAGGCGTTGGATCGGGAGGTATTGTGAGCTCTGCGGTAAGTTCAACTTTAAAAAGGACATGAGATAAATCTAATAAATTTTGATTTTTTTTTTAAAGTTTTGCCTGCTGTATAAATTGTACACACTTAAGTTAACACGTAAACAGCTTAATGGTTTGATTAAACATACAGATTCACCATATATTCGTGCTTTGGGATTTATGTAGGATATCTTTAATTTAATAATAATATTAATATTTTAATTTTTTTTTGTCCATATAAGGTACATTCGATTTTCTCAACCTCCTTCTGACCTATATGATTGGTATGAAGAATTTTTGCAAGATGAAGAGGAAATTGATGTAAAAGCTGGAGGAGGGAATATAATGACGATAGGTCAAATGTGCAGACAATTTCTCGTGAAGCTTGATTGGTTTAGCACTTTATTTCCACGAATTCCTGTTCCCATTCAAAAGAGTATTGAGCAAAAATTGAATGAGTATGATCGAAAATATGGAACTCAAACGGTTAAGAACTCGCAACGTCATGGTGGTGCAACTTCTTCAGATGAACGAGTAAGAGATCGTCCCTACAAAGAATATCGTGATGAAAGAAAACGTTCAAAGTCCCCAGCGTACAAAGAATACCGCGATGAAAGAAAACGTTCACCAAATGAGTCTCGTAGCCGAGAAAAACATTCAAAAAAGAGTTATCGAGATCGATCTAGGGAAAGAGATTATGAACGACGTGACCGAAAAAGAGAGTATGAATATGAGGAAGGAAAATGCTCACGACGGAATTAGTTAACATAATCAACAAGCGAGGACCGTTTACTTATTACATCTTTTTTTGAAAAATTACCGTTTTTCCGAACGTAATAAGTAACGCATAATTTTTTAACTTGATAAAAACGATCAGGAAAAAAAATCAAAACGTAATTTCACCTCATTTTTTTGCATAATAAAATAAAAGTACAGAGATAAATTGTGAATTACCAATGCAGATTGTATTTTGATTTTTATTTGACCTTACATTTTCAAAATGTGTTTTTTTTCATCCAAAGTTTAATTTTATAAATTTTACTTTATACTACTTTTTACCCGTGGACTAAAAAGTAGAAAATAACTTTTTTATTGGGTTCAAAGGATATTGGTTTAAAAATTTGAGATTGATTTGCATAGAAAGTCTCCATCGATCAGCTGTGCTTCGCACAGCATAAGTTTGTAAACTAGAACTAAACTTAAATAAAGTTGGTGCAAAACACAAATGTATCCAAAACGGTTTGAAAGAGAAAAATTCGTTAAAATTTCCACAATGATTCAGATTTGAAAAAATTGTTCAAATAACCCTTGTGCATAATATTTTTCAGACACATTGAAGTAATGAAATTTTTTGTTATTATATTCTAGTTTAGGACTTTTAATGCCTTTAATCTTACTTGATTATTGATTCCTCAAAATATTAAGTCATAAAATTGAGGATAAATATTGAGCATGTACACATTAATATGGAAGGTTAATTAGACTTTATTCTTTGGATTTTAATAGGCTTGGTAGATGCGGAGAGACGCAAATTTAACTTATGAGTATTTAAAGTCTTGGTTAATTTCAAAAAAATGAATCATGAATATTCGCCCAATTAATAGGTTTTCCTTTGGTTTCTTTACATAAACACAAAGAACTAAGCTTAATTAGGCAAGTTATAAGCATTAAAACAAGAAATTAGATGTAGAAAGGAGAAAAAATTTAAGAAAAATATTTGTTGTCATTTTGTAAACAAATTTACTGTCATCTTAGAATCGAATTTTTGGAAGTTAGACAACATATTAGAATGAGATATTTTTACAGAACATAAAACAAATCATGTTCTTTAATCTAGCATTTAAAACATAAAGTTTAATTAACTTGTTATTTTTGAACATTTTTTTTTAAATCTGAATCATTGTGCAAACGCTGAATGGTTCCTTTTAGTTTTTTTACCATGCTTCATTGATTTTTTTCAATTTTTGTCATTGCATATACTTTTTTTACTGATCTGTGGGTGCAACGTGATACATTTCAGATCCGTTCTGACAATATATCATTATGAGGTAATCTTGTAGCTCTCGTTCCCATTTCTCCCGCTACACTTCAAGTTCTTCATCCGTTCCTTAATCCAAGGTTGCAAAAAATCTCATGGCTTGATCTCGTACCATAAGCAGTCGAAGTATCTAAACTTCGATACTCTAGTAAACTTCTGAAAAAGAACAAATTTGGAAATGGCTGGATTGGAACCGACGACCTTCGAGTTACCATACCAAATTTGAGCCAAGCGCCTTACTTATTAGACCAGCGAGGTACTTAAATGCTTACATAAAGACAAAAATAGATTCAAGAATCATCATTTTCAACTTTTCAAACTTTTGTATACATACTTTATATATTTCAAAAATTCCAGTTACCATTAGTGAGTCCAGTCAGATTATAAATCTTGAAATAGTTTTGTCTTTTCAAAGCTTTTTGATAGCGTTTTCCTTTTTAAAAACTATTTCAAAGATTGGCAATTCTTTGGATGACTTTTGGAAAATTTTAAGCAAAAGAATCGAAATTTAATTGATTTTTCACATAAGAGACACTGATTTTTATGATTCTTATCGATGTGAAAATCTAAAATGTACACTACTTTTGATATCATATACTTCTAATCGCTGGATTAATTAAGTTTTTTGAATTCTTCAGTCAATAACTCGATGACAGAAATCGGAATTTTCAATTTTCATCATCCGAAGAATCGAAAATTAGAGAAAACTGAGAAAACTATTGAAATTAACATTGAATAACTTTTACTGAGTTATACAATAGACGAAAATCTTTGATTAGGTTGCTTTTCTGAGTGCTTTAGGTCATTGATTAATGAAAATTCAATTCTTTGAAAAATTTCCTTGTGTCATCGAGTTATAAAAAAGCTTTTTTTTTGTCTTAATCCGTGAAAGAATACAAAATTTTCAAACTTATTTTTTCAATTTTTCACTTAATTTGGGTGAGTTGTAACATTTCAGTAGATCACTTGTAAAGAATTAATTATGCTTTATGATCTACGAAAGTTCTGGCTTATTATTCCTTCACAGTAATATGAAATTAAAGAAAACATTTTATTGACACAAAACTCATTGACATTGGATTATGAAAGCTCATTTTTAAAACGCTTTTTATTGAGTTGTTTTGTCTTGATTTCGTTGTATGTCAAATCTTGCAATCGATTTTTCGACCACTTCTCCTGCTCAAATTTTTTATACACACGTATTCCCGGTGAAAATATAATATTTTACCACTGCGGAACCACAAAAATGCTTAATTATAGTACAATTTAAGTAAAACTTTTTTATATGGGAAACAATCCAATGTCAATGACATAAAATTTTGATTTGTTTAAAATATTATACTTGCTCAAAAGTCATTTATATGATTCATTATAGTTTAATTAATATTACTAATTATTATTTATACTGTAAAATGCAGAAGCTGAAGATTTTCTGGGAGGATGAAAAAATTGACAAGTAATTTTTTCCTGAATATTCGTAAGTGAAAATTTGAATTTTTAAAAAACCGTTAAGCACAAGTCCATTGCGAATTAATGCAAAATAACTATTAATATGCGATGTGCATTTAGCACACATAGTTTGAGCATAAATTCATGCTGTTTTTAATGTATTACATTATTTATAACACTTCACCAATTTAATTAAATTGACTTTTCTATTTATTAACGTCTTGACGTATGTTTGCATAACACATAAATGACATTCATTGAATTTAAATTTGAAAAATCCGTTATAAATACGTTACATATAGATGTGATTTGCATCTTTATGTTAAGAATTCACACGTTATGTAGTAGGAATGGTATAGATACATAAAAAATCTTTAAGATTGATTTTTAATGTACTTTACTAATGAATGCTATAAAAAACACAGAAAGCGCACATAATTGAAGTTCAGGACATTTTTTAAAGAGTTTCATGTGTTTCCGGATATGACTTAAAGTATATAAAACGAATGAAAAATTTTAATATTCGTTACTAATTACGTCTGCTGCAATATATAAACAGTTGAACAAAACGGTTTGAAACGAAGTCGAGTTCAACAAACTTGTAACCTATAAACCTACTGTAATCTATAAACAATTGAACGTAACGAAGTGCAACGAAGTGAAGTCTCCGGGTCCTTAGAAGAGAACGTGAATGTATATAGAAACTCAGTACTATAAACATTCTGACAAAGTAAAGTCTAGTATTCTGTATTCGAATATACTTTTGTTATTACTTGTTAATAATATCGATTAATGCAGATAAATTTGTATCGGTGTGGTCGAAATTTGATTAAAAGATTTAATTAGACTAAAAAGGAGTAAATAAAAAAAACGTTAAAAAAACTTTTTAAAAACGCGCTTTTATCAAAAAGACTTAAAACCGAAAAGATGAAAATAAAATCAGATCACACTTTTAACGAATTAGGATTTTAAAAATTTTCTTGTGACAACTAGAAACATAATATATATTTCGTTTTGAAAATATTTTGATTAAGTCCAAGAAAACAATGACTCTAAAAACGTGGGGCTTTAAGATTTGACACTTCTCTTACTTAAGAACTTAGCTAAACTAAGAAATTCATCCTTAAATTACGCCCAACGCTTTTAGAATCATTGTGTCCATGGACTTAATCATAATATTTTGAAAAAAATTTATGTTACATTTCTAGTTGTCACAAGAAAATTTTAAAATCTTGATTCGCTAAAAGTGTGATCTTATTTTATTTTCAACTTTTTGGTTTTTGGTCTTTTTGATAAAAGCGTGTTTTTAAAAAAGTTTTTTATTTTAAATTCCACTTATCCAAAGAGTTGCCCTTATAGGTCCATAATTTAAATAATTCGTGGTGATACTTATGCTTCACAATAGTATGGAAATAAGTATATATACCGAAGTTTATTAAAAATAGTTGATTGGATGCTTATATGTTCTGAATCGAAAATAAATTACCTTCAGATTAAAGGAAAATATCAAAGCTTTGCACATTCCAGCTTTATTCATGCGTTAATTGGATAAAATATGATCTTTAAATATTTAAAAGCATTTAGAATTATTATAAAATAAAATTTGATAAAAAAAAGATAAGAAAAATGAGTGTAATTTGCAAAAAATTATAAAAAATTACCTTAAAGTAAAAAAAATAAGTTATGAATTGTTGCTCTAGTTGCTCTAATTTTAAAATTAAAACATTGCATTTTCAAAAAATTTTAAAATCAGAAGATTTAAAATTAGTTTTGATTTAAAATAATTGAAAAATAAGAAAATATTGTTGAAAAAATGTATAAAAATGATTTTGTTGAAATTTGATTAAAACTAGTGTATCGGGTAGAAACCCAATGCGGATATATTCACACCGTACCATCAAAAGTCTTATGGATAGACCAAGATTTGCTCAGCATAAGTTTGAAGGGTGGGCGTGAAGTACGGCCGAGACCCATATCGACACAGTTCAAAAGATATACCTAATTTATGTCATAATTATGTCAGCTACAAAAGCACTTAGTTTGAATTTTGTCACCCTCGGGAACACTATGAACCAGTATAGCTGATTTTGGTCCAAATCTCGGCCATACTTCACACTTATTTGAACCACATTTTCTCGTAAATGTTAAACTATTATTAAAAAGTAATTAATCCTGAATTATGTCGCTATTTTGTCAAGTGTTTTAAGATAAAGGATTTGTTTTTTGGTTTCCACAGTGAAGAGTATGAACAAAATTCAGAAGGGGTAGTCGAAATTTTAGATTTCGTTTTTTTTTATAGCTATGCATTACAAAAAGTACTATTGGTATGTGATTTATGTCAGAATTATGTCAATTCAAATAAAACATCAAAAAATTTTTTTGACAAAAGTACACCATAGAAAATCAATTTTCAATTTAGGACTAGGGGCGACCCTAGTCAAAATCAATTTTGTCACTTTTTTTTTCGAGGGTTTATCCAAATGGATTGAAACTTCG